TCATAGTCGATAATCCGATAAAAAATGTAGATTCTCAATCTCTAACGAGAACTTTATGATTTAATTATGTTACATTTAACGTTGCCTTCTTTAAAATACACCGAGATTTACATGCTTAGTAAACTTTCGGAAACGACAATCATATCTTATTAAAGATAAAACGAATCGTGGATATCGAATTATCGGGTAAATTGATTTCGAGCACTGACCTTCTTGAGATGCCCCTTATTGGTGCCTACGAAGACAACGGTGTAATCGCCGGTCGAAGTGGCCGCCACTGCCGTTAAATGAGTCTCAAACGTCAAGACCGAAGTCGCTCCCATCGGTTCTTCGCCCCCTAAGGGCGTGTTCACATCGAGACCGCAGAAATCCTCGCCGATCGTCTGAAGTTTCTGTAAGCAAAGAGAAACGTATCCCATTAGAACGCAAGTACGATATTCGGTAATGCATGATCTAAGGAAAATTCCGGATAATATATATATGTATATATATACACACTCTTTTTATATATACATATATATAAAAAGGTTTCAGCTGTTTATAACAGATACATATAAAGTTTCATGTTAACGTCATCATAATCGCGCGGTCGGTCACTTGACCCGATCACACCGCTCATGTTAGATACTCGAATACTTAACATTTCTCGCTCGGGACGTGTAAAACAAATTGCGAGGAAAATATGTGCATTCCTCCGGGTTAAGGATTAAAAGCTCGCTTTATAACGACTAATTCACCGTCCGAGGAAGTAGGCCGCAGCTGATTTTACTTGCAGATATCTAACCACGCGCGTTCGAGTGCGCGAAGTATGACAAAATAAATCCATTTTTCCGCACGCCAGCGGGAAATTGCAAAACTCATCCTTTTGACTGTCCTACACATGTGCAAAGTGTTATTAAAATCTGAATTTTCCGCGTGGAGTACGTTCTCTCGTCAGACGCGCAAGTGACGTGAAGATGTTATTTTATTACGGTCAGAGAACGGGAATTCGTTTATTTTATCATATCGTATTCCAATGTGAGTGTAATCTTTTGGCACAATATTCACACATAATTCGTTCCGCCTCTTTTTCCTGTCTTTTTTCTCCCCTTTCACTTTTTCTTTTTTTCTTACCCTTTTTTTCCCTTCTTTTTACGAAACGTTCGTTAAATAACCGTTAAATAACGATTTACGAATAGTTAAATTACGATTACGTTTCGTAGAAAAAAAAAGGGAAAATTACATTTGTTTTGTTCAAAGGATACAAAAAAAGGGATTCATTTGTTTTGTTTGAAGGGTACAAAATACGGAGATTTTTTTTCTCGGTTTAGTGCCGTGCATAATAGAAAATGACGTGGCACATCACTGGTCAATATATAAAGATTTCGACCTATCCTAACCAGAAATTCATCCCTACCAACTTTACCCGAGCTTATATAAGGGCCTCGCGACGGAAACAAAACAGTTTCAGTCCGCTAATGGTACCAAATACTTGTACGAAACACCAATTCGAACAGTACGTCGAAGATGTCGTCCGCAAGCACAGATCTCTCAAGCTGCAACGAGCGTGTGCAAATCAAAATATTAATTCTCGGCGATCGAGGCGTAGAGAAAACATCAGTTGTATGGAAATTCGTGGGGAATACGTGCGAAAATGTAAGCAAAGGTATCTTGCGCAAATCTGTACGTGTCAACGACAAGCTATACGAGTTGAACGTGTTTCACATCGTCGCCGTTGAAGAATTTGGAGAAGTAACACCAGAGTACAAGGACGTCGACATATGTCTTCTGATGTACGCAGCAAACGATCTGAGTAGTTTCGAAAACGTGACGCATTGGATATCCAAGTTCAAGAAAGAAGCGAACATTAAAAATGGCGATATGTTCCCTTTCGGCGTTGTTGGCAACAAGCAGGACGTTCCCGACTATACTAGACTAATTTTAAGAAAAGAAGCGGATGATTGGTGCTGGAACAATAATCTTTGGCATTCAGAAATATCAACCAAAGAGGAGATTACCATCAACCGAGTATTTGGAGTAGGGATGGCATTGTACAAGCGTCGACAAGAGGAATTGGGACAGCCAAGTGGAATTCTCAATAGCATCCTCATTCCTGATGTTATTAAAAGGACAATGACATGGTGTCGGCACTTCAAAAACTAAGGCGAACAGATACTTATAGGTAAGCGAAGAAGAAAATACTTAACGTTTTGTTAAAGACATTATTTTTGTGTGGAAGGAACAGAAATATTTAATAAAATAAATTTGCAGCAGGGACGACAATGTACGAGCGGAATCGGGACAGTCAAGTGAAACTCCCAATCGCATCATCATTTCTGATATTCTTCTGAGAACAATGACATGGTGTCGGCATTTCAAAAAGTAAGGCGAACAGATACTTATAGGTAAGCAAAGAAGAAAATTCTTAACACTTTGTTAAAGACATTATTATTGTGTGGAAGGAACAGAAATATTTAATAAAATAAATTTGCAGCAGGGATGGCAATATACGAGCGGAATCGGGACAGTCAAGTGAAACTCCCAATCGCATCATCATTCCTGATGTTCTTTTAAGAAAAATGACATGGTGTTCGCACTTCAAGAACTAAGGCGAACAGATACTTGTAAATAGACGTAGAAGACAATTCTTACTTTGTTAAAGACATTATTTTTCTATGGAAGGAATAGAAATATTTTGTAAAATAAATTAAGCAAGTTATTTATCAAACATAAATTTTGTGTTCGACTTCCATTTTCCTTGCCTTCCCTTCTCCTTCTCCACCGTCTAATCTTACCTCTTTAATATTATTATAATAATAGTTCTAGTCTTGTACATCTTCACCTTTCCTATAAATTATCTGCGATCTGGACTTAGAAATATATGGGCGGAATTACATTGTCAGGCTTTGCATTCATGTTTATTTCTGGAAATTTCGTGTTGCGTGAAGCGCTAAGAACGATATGATATATCAAAGTGCTATTTTACGGCAAAGTCCGAAGAAATATTCAAGACTGAAAATCAATTAATATTATCATAATATTCTCGCTAATACGTGATAATATCTATCGTTGATTTCAGACTGTCTCTTTCCCGTATACATTATGTTGTAGAATTAAAGGTTTAACATGAAGTCAAAGTTTCGACTCGGGACGATACTTCGATAGC